TCAGTAGTCGAAGAAAGGAATGCCTCGCTTTATTCCACTATGTTAGCGAGAATTGTCTGACCTGGAACGTAATAGTTCTCTTTTGTCTTTTGTCAAATGACACAATGAAAGCACCGTTGGGGTTGTAGAATAATTGGCTTTGTAATAGCTTTAATGAACGCCGAACAGAATTGGATAAGCAATTACTTGTTGCAGTAGTCTCTTGCTGCTCTAGCTAAATCTCTGAGCTCTTCCCAGTTTCATTGTAACATCGTTCTGCACTATAGATGCAATGGTATCCTATTCAGAGAATTTTAGTCAATATTTTCATAAAACTGTTCTATCAAAATCCATGTCAGCGCGACTGCTTCACATTCCTACCTCGGACTGCAGTACACCAGGCATCTCGTCGCCTTAGCGTGGCTGGAGTCCAATATATGAGGGTAACGGTGATGCACTAACTCATTCGTACGATGCTTCACCGACTTGATTTCAGTCATATGACTGCTGTGAAGCCAAATCGCAGGAAAAACATTGTATATTACATCTCGGCTCTCCGCCATCGATAGTAGAAGAACTAAACCATCAGTTTACAGAATCGTTGCTTGGAAGATGATGGATAGAATGTGTAGTTTTAAAAAACCTTTACTCAAGGTTCCATAAGACTGAATAGAAAATTTATTTTAATAAGTATTCACGTCTACATGCGAATGGCGCTACACTACCAATCGGATTTCTCTTTTCAAAAGATCGTGCAAGAATTCTTCGAATCGAAACGTGAAGTTCTATTGTTTTTTTGTTTTTTAAAATTAATTTAAAAGCACAATCAGCGCTGCCTAATCATCGGCTCTTCTACAAGAAATTTATGAGCGGTGAATGTAGCCAAATAAGCATTTCCCTGTCGTTTTAACAGATCTGCCAACGCCGAACAGTTTCGTCGCAAAGTTCTCCATTTGCTCAAAGTAGATTACTGTGGCTATCAAACGAATTTCGATTAACAAAAAAAGAAACACTTATCTTTTGTTTTCCTACAATTTAAACCAATGACATTCTGGTGCCAATTGTTGGCATAACTGGGAAAGAAATAAGAAATGGGACGGTGCCAAGTGATATAGAAGTTATCAAGAGACATACAAGGTCATTCAACTCGAGACCGCATTCGGCACAGCTCATTGAACTCTTTTTTGCAGGAAGCTACAGTAACAAGTAAGCAATAACCTCAGAAGTAAAAGCGAAAGATGAGAAAACACACAAAAGTTCCTTTTCAGGTGCTTGTCGAGCAACGACAGCATGATGTCTTTCGTTGACTCAACTAAAAAGAAGTAAGAAATAAGGTGTTAAATAGAAAAAAGAAAACTTTTAATTTCATATGGAAGTTCGATCCAGCCAAACTAAACCTTAGAATAGTGATTTGCTTGCTCATATGCGATGTTTATGAGTTCATAGAAGTACGAACTCATCGAGCATTTCGTCAAGAATATGTGCCGGTGCTAGTGCAGTAATAGGAGCGAATAATTGCAATAATATCTTTTTTCTATATTTCTACTCTATTTTTATTATACTTTTTCTATTTTATTTTTATTGTTATATTTTTCTATATTTCTACTCTAATATATCTGACAATGTTGGCATATATGCCACTACAGTCCGAATGCCCCAAATTCTTGAGTGACGCTGCATGCATGGTCCTCACTTTCCCCTTTGTAATGCTGCGACTTAAATTACTGAATCTCCTAAGAAGGAAGTGTTTGAAATCGACGTAATGTCGAATTCTAGAATGCACTGTGAAGGAGAAATTTGTAAAAGAAAAAGATATTATTTGACGAAAACACACCCTTTTTTGACTTCACTGAGTATTTGGCCTACAGAGTACTTGCAGTGACTTGCCATTTTGTTAGGCAAGTGCTTTTTAAAGAGTCTCAGATGAAATTGATATGATTCCTACCCCATAGTGTTCAAAAGCTCGTAAAACCCTATTCGCGGGCGTTCAAATCACCAACCATTTCAGTGATTATTGCACCGTTGATCAGTGCGGCGCAGGTATCCAGTAGAAGTGATATTCATGGATGAATGGTCGGCTTATAATGGCCTTTTTTGATTGTGCTACTCCTAAATTCCATCCTTTGGTTCATGTCTACGAGAGCGTTGCATTTCTTTGTTTGTGAGGAGGCTATTCCTCATGGTGAACTTGTTCCAATTCAATCATGTAATTGATCCTTGATTGTCATACGAGGTATCGATCAAATCGTTGGAGTTCACATGTAACTTATTCACACAAGTAACGGCTGTGATTATCTAAGTTTCTTCAAAGTAAAATAGATAGCAACGCAGCCAATCATTCTATAAAGAGTTTCTCTAGCACCCCTGATAACCTCACAAGGATTCCAATGGAATGCATTCGTTGCAAGAATGTCGCAATAATTTACCCATTGTTAATTGCACAGATTTCCAAAATTTTGTGTTTCTATCAGAGCAATCATCGAAGAATGTACACCGTTGTAGGGCTTGTACTATTACGTAGGAATAAATGTGAAAAACCTGTAAATCCCTCTAAGTAGCTTTGAGATTCTGGACTAAAGTTCTTTTTATTAAAGCGTTTTTAATGTAATATATATATATATATATATATATATATATATATATACAATTTGTCAGTCTCTGATGACACTGTATGAGTAATGCGCGTATTTGTAATTTAACATCATTTGCTAGTAGGCGCGACTGAAACTCGCAAGATTCTTAGGGTAATGAAGTGCGCGTTCAAAAGCCTTGACCAACTCTTTCTTAACATTTTGGCAGACCTTCGTGCGGCATACCGCAGCTCCACGAGATCGCTTATTTACAAAATAAGTTTTTCATTGCTGTATTTAATAATCAGTTCTCACATGGGAAACGTCTTCAAAGGAAAAACAGTCCTTTCCTTGTTTAAATCAATCAGGGATGGCCGATGGAGAATGCAGAGTGATGTTTACAAGTAATATTCTACGACGTTGATGAAGAAGACAAATCCCCAAGCATGTGATGATAGCGAGAAGATTAATCGAACGCTAGGAACACTGGATGAGTAGAGTAAAAAGAAACTGTGATGCCGATCAAATAAAGTGATGAGTAAAATGGATAGAACTCAAGATTTAGGCTGAATCTACGATAGTTACTGTTATTATTGGACATTACATTGTTCATGTATTGTACGATATTCTATACTCTATTTGTTGCAATGTCACGCTTGATTTTTGTTCATATTATTTTCGCTTTCATTATTTTATATGCAATGCTGTACACAATTTCCGGATTTTACATCATCCGAGAGCGGTCGGTTGATTTTGTTTATTAGTTCTGCTTTGATTTCGGCCTGAAATCATCTTCGAATCAACAAGTAGGAAGGAAGGCCAAGGATCCATCTCCGAAATCCTTCCCTTGTAAGCGAGATCGTAAAGTTCTGAAAACGCCTCTGAAAAGTTACGTCAGGAAACCAAAGAATATTAAATGTACGACTAGCTATATACCCTTTGGAATATGTGCTGGGGTCCGCCCAACTAGTGATAGATGAACAACGCATCGAAGCGTCTAAGTGTGTCTATTATTGCACATGCCTTTGAAGCAATTATTTTGCGACCTCGCTCAAGAGAATGCAGTTTGATAACATATTTTGAGCCTTTCATTAAATCTGTTATAGCACTTAACCAGTATTGGACACGTATTTGGGCCTTACAACTTCGTCAGTTTTACGGTGCCCTTTCGTTCAGTTAGTTTCTCGGTGATATACACCTTAGATAAAGGAATCAATTATGGACTTTTACATTCAACGTACGGTGAAAGAATCATGGTGGCGTATGGTTGACAAATAAATATGCTGTCAGATCAAATTGGTTTGGAGTGAGGTCTTAGAATTACCAATTGAAAGGTATCGTGATATTTGCTCTGAAAGCCGTTAAACATGCAATCGATAATCACTCCGAAGAGCGCCACGATGAATCTTTCACAATACATTGAATGTAGAAAGTTTGTCACAGACTCGTCCATAATGGGATTAGATTACCGGAAACTGACTGAACGAAAGGACATCGTACAATGACGAGGCTGCAAGACAGGTGCACGCGTCTTGCACTATGTGCCATAACAGAGCTCACGAAAAGTTCAAAATTTGTTATCCGATTATTATTGTACTGTTTTTTGTTACTGGTAAGACTTTCTTTAAACATTCTCGCCTTTTTGATCCTTGTATAGCTATTCACAAAGCCGCAGTCTTTTTTTGTTGTTACACTGCAATAGTAAAGTATTCCCACAGTTCAAAGACAGCACCGCAATTGAATTTTTTTCAAGTCATGCACGCGTTCTGTTATGGGCACTTATACAGCGCAATACACGTGTTTTGAACTTTCAGCCTCTTCAATTGCACGATGCTCGGTGATGGAATGAACCGTCTGGAGGATCAGTCGCTCTCGGGCCGTACACAGGAAGCTCTATCAATCTTGCGCATTGCTTCGCCAGCCCTTTCCCTTAAGCGCTAATCGTGCTTGAGTAGCAAGTGAAATTGTTCTCACGACACCTCCATCTCACAGCAAGCGTAGGCAAGTTGTACACCAAAATGACTGAAAAAACGCAATTGAACGATATCAAAATGGTGTAATTTTTATTACTTCTAGATACAAATTTGATGTATTGCTCTAGTGCCAGGACCTACGGAACTAACAAAGAAAAATGAGGCATAAATACGAAACTTTCAAAAATTATTGAACTTTCTACTTAGAGCTATATTTGATTCGATGTCTAGTTCAGATCATGTCGGGCTCATAAATTGTCTTCTGTAGTCTACCAATTTGTCAAATTAGTTTTTTATAGAAAGCCATAGACGTGCCTGTTACTAATTTGGCAACCCAAAAGTGTTTTAAAGCTTGGAGAACACGATTTCGGCCGCAGTCGTAATCTATTTAATGTTTATTGCAGAACACCTTTGACCACTGCGTTGCAAGTAAATGAAAGTGAAGTAAGTGTTGAAGAATGAGTGGTCGGGCAAATGTACCTCGGTGGTATAGTGATACAGCACGCGTCCCGGACAGGATGAAACGCGGGTTTGATTCCCGCCTGAGGCCGTGTTTTTGCTCACCACTCAATTCTCTTAGTAAATGAAAGTGTTATTCAGGTTGCATGAACGGGTTACCATAGCTTTTTTCTCAGTGTAAGACCTCTAATTTTTATCCTTGCTTGGTTAGTGTTTATGACAGCGCTACACTTGTCTGTTTGTGAAGTTCTGTTCTTATATAATGAACAGGCTTCAGAACTCTTCCCATTCATTTAGTTCACATGTTTACATGTAATCGTAGCACATAAAAATTATCAGATCTTCAATATTGACATGTGGCTTCAACCGTAATTTTTCAACTTATTCTGCGAGATCAGCGTGGTGATCAAATCAATCTATTTCCCTAATACGTAACATGATGCACGAGTAGCGCAGTGGATCACGTGCTGTATACACAGCATGCTTTTGCTGCACCCTGCCCAAACAACAGAGGTCTCTCATGCATTTGGGATTACTAAATCGTTAGCATACATGTCCTGAAAGAGCTTAAAGTCTCTCTACTTTCTATGATAAAGATCTGTCAACTCACTAGAACGGAATCTTCGCCATCTCAGGGTAAACCATTTCTGTGTGAAATAAAGGCGGTAGAACTTCAGGTCTTCCTAGATTTCTTCGATCAGTTCTGAGATAAATGTACGTAATTCAAAACTCTTTCATCATTCTCCAACAGGTATGACTTCAAATTTCACGACTATCAAAGTGATGAAAAGAACATTTGAAAGACCTCGAACAAATAAAGATTACTTATTCATCATTTTAGAAGCCTGTCTTGAGACATGTGACTGGTCTACAAAAGATCACTTGTTCATAAGATTGAGAGTTGTTCACTTTGGATTCCATCAATCGAGTTTTACAGAGGATAAGTGAAATATCATCGCAGGAAAACACCTTTGTTCTTGATTTTTAATAGCATTCAAACTCTGTACACGAATGTACAATTACTGCTATTTATTGCATATCATTGCTGTTATATTGTATATGCCTGTTTGGTGTACTGTCAGAGTTATTGTTATTCACAGTGCTTTCCTCAAAATTTTACTGCTATGTATTATTGTTCTCTTCATTTTTATCGTTACTTTATGCTTCTTGTTTTCGTCTTTATGGTATTTGCACAATTTGTTTCACTATGGGCACCATGGAGACAATAAAGCGTGCACTCTCTCGAATTTTGAGTGAAAAGTAGCACTCCGTGCAATTGTTTATTTGCAAGATTCTCAATTGGGTACTTGTCCACTTTGAGGTGACAAACGAAAAACCGGTCTCATTCGCTGGAGAGGAACTTTTCATATGAGTGTTAGTGATCATTTAGAAACCTGAGATTCTGGCTAGAGCTTCACGTTGACGTTGTTACAGAAGGCGATACCCTGCGTTACAGACGAGCATATTCTATGCCAGTTAGAGCTCCTTCTTTGGACTGTTAGTAACCATTCGATAGCGTAATCTAATTTCAATGACGTGATAATTTTCTGGAAGGACAGCTTCTCCCAGTGCAACACGGCAAATAAGTTGAATTCACATCCGTCAGCAAAGTGGTCTATGGCCAATCAACGTGCCGGTGGTTGAGGCGGCCACGTGAAATGCTAACGCATTACTTCTCTACACGTTCATAAGCTCGAAAATTGGTAATCATCAAGACAGCGTATATGCAGCCCTAGCCGGCGACACATGATCTGGTCAAAGACCCCTTTGCTGACGTATGTGTTCAACTTATTTTCCCTGTTGCCTTGCAGAAAAGAGGTCTTTCCAGAAAATAAGCATGGAGTTAGCTTTAACATACACTACGCTATCGAAAGATTACTGGTAGCCCAAAGAAAGAACTCTGTCCGACGAGAAATTAGCTCGTCTGAGACACATATACATGGATTTCACACCTTTATAAATCGGTCTCGAAAACCGTCGACGTGAGGCTGCAGCCAGAGATCTGAGCTTTCGAAAGATTAAAATTGTATTAATTTATACGAATTAAACGTGTATTAGCACCCTCGTGTTTGTTGAACGAAGGAATATCACAGAATTCTTCAAGCATGCCGAGGCTAATCTACAGTCGACCTTGGAAATCTGACAACGCATTTTGAGCCATGAATGAGGTTTGTTATGGCATTCATACAGTGCACGATACGTGTCTGCATTACAGCCTCGTCAGTTGCACGATGCTTTTTATTCGGTCAGTTTCGCGAGTATGCCCTATACAGAGAATGACACCAAAATATTTACACTTTCTGTTTGGTGAAAAGATCACCAAATGGATGATATTGCACATTCAATGACTCATGGCTGGTAAAACATGATTATTAACCTTTCATGTCGAATGTTTTTGAAATGTTGCTCACAGTATTATAATCTGATAACATATTTTGAACATTATATGAGGTCTGTTATCAACAAAAACACTCAAAACGAAAGATATCACAATCATGTTTTACTAGCCACGAGCAATCGAATGTACAGTACTGGTCGTTGGGTAATCATTTCACCAAACGTAACCTGCGAATATTGCGGCCTCGGTTTCTCAGTATAGGAGACATCGCCCAGAGTCACTCACTGAACCGAATACACCGTGCAACTGAAAAGCTTATAATGCCGAAACACGTGTCTTGCGTTGTATAAGTGTCATAACACAAGTCATGAAAGATTCAAAATATTGTTATGAGGGAGTTTTCTAAAACGCTCAAGACGAAAGCTATGAATTTCTCCAATTAGTTTCTCCCTGGCAATGTTTATTCAACATTTTCTCGATTTATAAGCAGAGACAAAGGCTTTCTTTGGTACCCATCCGTAAATCCTCACTTAATTTTGGAAAAAAATACTGGAGCGAAATTCGTCGTATTGCACACTTCAGTGTAATTCACAACACTGCCCTAACTAGTCAACTAGAATATAATTTGTTAGTTTATTACTGTGATACTCATAATACTACAAAAAATATCAAGTAAATGGAACTGTCTCAAGCGTATCACAGCTCAACCTCAGTTTCCTCCGACGGTGGCAGTTGCCGATAAGAAATGAGATCCAAATGAACTCGATGCCAACATTCGCACAGCTTGGTTCACTACACTTCGCCACATCGCTGTCGACCATTTGCCATGATGATGTTTGTGGTCTACACAAATTCTTTTCGTCCAGTGGTAGCTTGTATGAAAGTGTATGCAAAATGCAAATCAAACCGAGAGAGTTCCTGGATCGAAGTGCGATTGGCGGGAATAGGCAATACCATCGCTTTTTCGGGTGTTGGCGTACACATTCCTGCGTCGACCATTGTACTAGCGCAAATTCCCGTTACCGTGTTGCCAACGATATTACACTTGTGCTCCATATTAGTCACTGCAAAAAATTATGAATTCTAGAAAGGCACCATCTCTTTTAAGACAGAAAACTGACAAAGGTCAAAAAACAATCATAAAGATTGATTTATTCATATTTTTCGAACCCTTTTCAAACCATTACCATAAAACGAAAAATATGTTAATTTCAGTGAAGATATGTAAGAACCCACATAAGAAATGTAGACAGTTTCAAATCGTGACGCTATCTCAAAAGTTTTCATCATATTCTAAAATTATTTAACCTTTTTTTGATAATTTTTACTTTTAGGCAGCTGCAAACAATGTCCTGCTTTTTTGGGTGCTATGTTTCTCTTCAGGATTTTTCGGATGAATGTTCAATATTGAAGCCTCACCCGTATCCATTGTTGGATCGAGTACAACACCCTGGCATACCATTGGCTCATACATGATGTTAACAGTAAGTTGATCCAAAATGTTTGAAATTATAGCATCAGGTAGCAGTGTTCTGCGACCTTGCCTTTCCAGAACATCACGATGATCTAAACTTCAAAGTTTTTATTTGTTCGAAAAGCTTATTCAAAAATGTTCCAATTGGATTATGTGAATTGATAGAATCAATAGAAGCACTAGAAGTTTGACGAACTATCTCAAAATCTAAGCGTCCCACACCTTCCCAAAACATCACAAAATCTAAAAGTTGAACACCTACTGCTTGCATTACAAGACGTGAGACAAATCCCTCAGCTGCTTCCCTGCTAGCTGCAATACCAGGAACGCGAGCAGAAACTTCGGGCTTTCCAGAATAAACCATGTTAGCGGGCAACGTGAAAGCCACTGACAGTGAAACTTCTAGTGCTTACTGCCAACGCAAATTTGTGGCTTTTCTAGTGAAGAGGTGGAAATCAGATCTTTATTCGTCAATATCTTTATATTGTTGGTGCTCTTCATGTTCGTGGTCTAATTTAATTTCTTTTCCAGACCTTTTCAAATCTTTTTTTGGTTTGAAATTGTTCCATTAAGGCGTAAATCATGATATTTTCCGAGTATATAACGAATTACTAGATATATTCACTCTGAGTGGTATAAAGAAGCTTTCATTTAAGATGTTAATATCTGTGATGGCATAACAATCGCCTATCCATTACCTTGACCTGCAGGCACCACACCACATCCAAACATTGTAGTGAGTGTGACCATCAGCAAAATCATAAGGGAACCGACCAAATGTTCTGCCGTATTAATTTTTTTCATTCGTAAAGCTGAAGAAATATTGTAAACATGACTTAAGATAATTTTCTACTAGCTGTATCAGATCATTCACGAAGCATCAAACGGACTTACTGCAAGCAAAATCATTCAAAGCACCTTATGCGACTAACTCTACTCTAACAAATACAGCACTATGAGCCAATAAGGTGATATGCATGCAGAATGTGAAAGAGACCGCTTGAATACAAATTCAGTGAATGCACCTTTTCTTCAAGTGCGACGGCTTGCACTTGATTCTTGCCTTCTCCTTTTAATGCTGGGACGCATGACTCCACTTTCTCAAACCAAAATATTCATAATCGAAAAACACCATTACCACGACATCCTCTACATGGAAAAAGCTTCAAGAGCAGATATCTAGTAACAAAGAAGAAAACACATCTTTCGCTGAGAACATTACCGGTGAAAAATTTCTACAAAGCAGAAGTCACGTGGTTGAGCTCGCCTGAGATACGTT